CTCCGGCACCGGCGCTTCCCTGAGGATGAGGAGGCCCCCTCCCAGCCAGCCAATCTCCCCAGGAGCCAGGAAAGGAGAAGCAGCAGCACATCACCCCATCCAGCATAATCGACAGCTTTATTCCTTTTAGAGGCAGCCAAGTCTGCCCACAGATGCTCCCCAATCCCCCGGGAAGAGTTTTTCTCCACAGCGCGTGTGAAGCCCTGCTCCACGCGCCGGCACGGCTCTGGGGGGGGTCAGCCTAGCCAGCCCCCCGTCGGAGGGACGGCGTGGAAATGAGCATCACCTCAGGGGGCTGCTGGGAAACCCGCGGCCGTGCCTTTGCCCCAGGAGGGGATGGCGCCTGCGCCATCGGCCGGCGGCAAGGGCTGTAAGTCACGAGGGAGGAGGCCGCAGAACAAGCCTTCGTCTGCTGGACGCATTCCTCCAAGGCAAATATTGACAGTGACATTGCCCCGAGGAGCGGGGAGCGAGAGCACTGCTGCTTCAATAAACCGGCCAAGTGCTTTTAATAGATGTAAATAAAGCTTGTGTTGCAGGGGGCCGAGGTGCCTGAGCGGGGAGTGGTTCATTAAGAGGCCAGGGAGCCTTTCATCTCCGGCTCGTTGGCTCCACTCCAGTGACCAACAGTTACCATCTGCCGAGTGACCTCTGCGGAAGGAGTGGGTGGTCTGCACCCCGCTCCCCCCAGACAGGTGTCCGGCATCACTGACACCGCGGCTCCGCACCCTCCGAGGAGGAACAGAAGGTGCTGGTGGGCAGTGCCCGCTGCACCGGCTTCGGGGAGGCTTGGGCAGGGCAAAGCTCTGGGGCACGATGCAGTCAGAAGAAAAAAGCCTGTTGGGAGCAGGAGGGGTGAGAGAAACAGCTGCAGAAGAAGGGAGCAAAGCTCAAACTGCTCTCCTCTCTTCTCCAGCGCCTTGTCACAGCCCAACGCCGGCCACCGCAGCACCCAAGCTGCTCCCCGCAGGCCACCTGCGCGGCCCGGCCACAACCCGGCTGGATGGGAGAGGGGCGTCCCACAGCGGAGCGCGTCCCCCGCGCCGCGCCGCACAGCTCTCCAGAACCGCCGAGACGCACGCAGCTCTGCCACGGTCTCGGGCAGGAGGCCACCACCAGAGCTGACGGAGCCCTAAATGTTTTAGCAGGCGGTATGCAGGCAGATCAGAAAACCAGAAGACCACACGCTTTCGTGAGCCAGTCTGCTCCTTAAACACCGCTGTGCAGTCAGAGCTCCAGGGCACGGAAGCCAGGACAAGCCCTGCCCTGCTCTACAGCACCCGTGCACGCTTGCTTCCCAGTTTACACCATTTACTACTTCATTAAGCTTGGCTAGCGTCCAGTTTCAACTCAGGAAATAAGCACAAAATGCCCAAGAGAGGAAAAGCAAGAGGGGACGTGAGCCACAACGCAAGGCAATTCTCGATGTAAACCCGCCCCGCGGTTCTGCGCTCGGAGAGAAGGAACTGCGGCAGCGCAGCCGGTTTTGGAGCCGCAGGCTGGTGGGACAGGGCGGTCAGCGAGGGGGGAGCAGAGCAGGGGTTCCCCGATCAGGCTCAGCAAGCTCAGGGAGAAGATCACTTTCATCCCTCATGTGCTATGGAGGGCTCTAGCCAACATTGTACAAGTAGCAAACAAACACTGCAGGGACACCAGCAGTCTTTGCACATTTGAATGAAATTCAGCTAGGAGAACAGGCGTCCTGACTTTGTTCTGTAAAATAAACGAAAGGCTTTTAGTGTTGTGAAACTTGCAAACACGAGGATTTGCGGTCAGTGCATGGTGCTGAAATTCTGGGAGGAAAGAGGTGGAAGAGGAAGGGATTCACTTCAACCATCCGATGGAAAATAAGAGTTATTTTTGTGACTCATTTTTGATCCCTACCTGTCCGCAAGCAGCGGAGGAGCCGCTGTCCCTCCTTCGGTGGTGCAGGAGCGCTGCCCCGGACCTGGGGAGCAGTGCCACCCAGAGGGCTTCTCCAGAAACAGCTCACGCCATCTGACATCTCGCCCAACCCGGCAATTATTTTTTTTTTTGCCTCCTTCTGATCAAAGAAAGCTTCGCTTTCGTTGCCAGCTCTGTTTCAGCTGTCTTTCAAGCCACCCTCCTCCCTCCATCCCGAGACAAGCAAGTCTCGCTCAACAGCAGCTCCAGGTTAGGGAAATAGCTTCAACGACAACTCAGGGCATTTATTCACGACGCTGGAACATAAAAATAACATCTTTAATAGCTTTATAGTTGGCACAGATGGTATTAAAATTCACCACTTCTTATTAATAGACTATGAAACAACACATGGTGCAGTGCCGAGGAGGGCAGCTCCGACTGCATGTTGCTTCTACACCACGGAGCTACGACGGGTTGGTGTTAGAGCTGACTCTTTTCATTTACATTCAGCGTTTATAGTCAGAGAGTCAAACCAACAGCTAGATTTAACCACACGCACACAGAGCAAAGCCTGGGAAGGATGTTTCTGCTGGCAACCAATGTCTCCTCCTCTTAGCAGCACACAAAAGCCCAAAAACGTAGTTGTAACACAGGTTACAAGAGACTTGCCGCAGCTACCGTTGGCCAAATAGCACGTGACAACGCAGGAGCTTCGGCTCACACCCGAATAGAGCAGTTACTGCAGTGAAAGAGTCGTTTCTCTCTTCCAGGAGAAGCGAAGGCTAGACCAGCGCTTAAGATATTAAGACATCGCCTAGAAGCTCTGTCAGGGGCGGCTGGATTTTTTTTCAGGAACCTAGAACACAGTGGAATAATAATACCTTACTTTCTGAAGTACTTTTCCCAAAGGGCCTCTAGCAAACCTCGCCGCTGCCCTGTGAGACAAGCAAGCGTTATTTTCCTCACACAGATGCAGACGCGATGGTGGAGGCACCAAAGGGTTACGTGACTTGCCTTGGAAAGCAACAGCAAGCTGATGGTAGACCAGGGACCTTGCAGAAAAACCCCGTTCTGACTGAAAAGAACTTACAGCATCAAGACCTACTACACAGAGTGAAAATAACTCCCAACACCACTTCACAAGAGGGGAAGGGGAAGGTTGAAAGCATCCCAGAAGGTCTGAGCAGACGTGGAACCAATGGGAAAAGTCAGCAGTGTCAGCCTGAAAAGGACAGATATAAACTTCAGCCGAAAAGACATTCCCACACCTGCAGCCTGCATCCAAAACATTACGCCATGAACTCATGCTGGCAACTGTGCTCCTTATCCATCCTTGTGTGCCTGTTATTCATCCTCCGCTTAAATGGATATAGTCTCTCCGGTGTCGCAGTACGTCTCTATCACAGTTTCTACGTAAGCATCCCTCAGTAGCGACCACGTGCAAAACTTTTATTTGGGGGAACATTTATAGGTCTCTGGCAAGATTATAACTTGTTTAATGAAGAATTTAGTCTTCAGTGAAAACATAATCACCAACACTGCCGCAGATACATCTTGCTCATTAGCAACTCCATCCTGACAAATACTTCGTTTGTTCAACCCAGTTATCCAAAAGTCACTGTTCTTAGTGACCCTGAAGGAGCCAAGATACCACAGTCACTTTCAATCACAAATTTTCTTATCATTTGTTGGTTATAAAAATTTCCAGTTTCTACGGGTACTCTATAATCACAATAAATGACGAGGCGTTTCTGGCCTCTGTTCTGTTATGAGGAATTCCCTCTCACCATCACGATCGGGTGCCAACACGGAGGGAGGTAAGAATGCATAGTGAGGTCTCCCATCATCTGTCCTCTGTCGAGGCCACTTTTTTTTCCATCTAATGACCCTGCGCTGTCAAGGTCTCCGTTTTGCCTTTAGTTTCAGCAGGGGCCTCGCCACCGACTGCTTTGTTGGAATAATCTCGCTCTCCAAAAATAGTGCTTCCAATCCTGACGTTTGTGGATCCAACCTCTATCTACGAAGAGACAGAAAGGAGGAGCTCAGGGCAGGGCGGCCACCCACACCTGCCAACACAGTCCGTGACCAACCTCGACGCTCGCCATGTCACAAAAGGACGCTTCCCCACGTACTCGCCATCCGCAGCTATGGCTAGGGGCTGTTTTGATCCCCAGAACTCTATCCCAGGACCAGGAGAGCTGTTTCTCATGGAACAGCACCATCCGTATCTCCATCCAAGGCTTAAGAGGCCCGTTTGGATGACGCCTGGGCTGGACTTTGGGGTGCCTACTGCTGGTGCTGGAATGTTTGGTTCCCGAGAGAAGGGGTGGCAGAAGGAAACCAGACTTACTGCGTGCTGGAAGTCTGTGGACATGCCCATGCTCAGCTCCACCTTCTCAACGGGGAGATTCAGCTTTTCACACACCTCCTGCCGCAAAGATAGCAGCACCTAGAAGGGAGGAGGAAAGAAAAGAGGATCACACGCTCGACAGCCACGCCAGCTCAGTTTCAGGGTTTCACAGATCACGATTTCTGCCTTCCTTTGAAGTCTCCTTCACACAGAACGTGCAATTCCCACGCTTCCCACTGACGCTTGCTATGCAGCATCGTAACAGCGCCTGCAGATTTCCCATTGCAGGCTACTTTACTGACAACACGCATACAAACAAGTCTACGCATCTCCTGAAGACATCCAATTATCACACCAGGACAACAGACGAGGAACGCAGACCCAGTTCCTCTGCCTGATGCGGCCCTGTGCACACAGCGTGCAAAGGAAGGCTGACTGAAACCTCATCTGAAAGCAGGACCAGAGCATCCAGGACAAGAACTGCTGCGCAAGGTGCCCTGCTGATATCCTGGCTACGGCTTCGCAGAACCAAATACATATGGGCACCTGGCCTCTGCAGAAATGAGCCTAACACCTGCGTTAATACCGACCCTTCAGAGGACTGTACTACTCTGAACAAGGTGTTTCCATTGAGAATCTGCAGCCAGACTTACAGCTTGACTGCGTACTGGTTTGGCTGGGACAGACAGCAGACTGTAACGGGAGCCCAGCCAATGGTTGACGTTTTCTTCCAGAAAATCTTACCTGGAAGTCAGGATTTGGCCCCTTACTAAGGTCATGCCCAATGCTGCCGATCGTCATTAGCCCCACAAATTCCAGGCTCGGACACTTGTTGATGACGTGCTCCACGGCAGCTGTGGTGTCTCCGGGAGGAAGGCCATGCTTACCTGGCAAAAAGCGGGGAGACTTGTGCCAAGCTCTGCCAGAGACCTCCCATCTCCGCAGCCAGGCAGAAGCCAACAGATGATCAGGTTTCATCTTAGATAAACGTTTTAAGAGCGCAAATCAACCCATCCCATTCAGGTTGTTTCTATCAAGTCAGCAGGACAAACCTGCATATCATCAGAAAAAGCCACTTACTGTCTTCTCCACTCGTGTTAACTTGCACCATGACCTTCAGCTTCTGAGACAACCCTTTTTTCTGCCATGAGCTGTTGACTCTGTCTGCCAGCTTCACAGAATCCACCGTTTCCAACATGAACAGGTTAGGGACAGCTGGGGAGAAAGCACAGGCTGAGGGCAATTCTGCTGGCACAGAAGTTTTTGTACCTACAACTCAGCTCGCTCACAGAGACAGGCATTGGTGAGTTAACGTACATGAGGTTGTTATTATTTGAACATTGGAAGACTATTGCCCACAGGGTCACTGCACATAAAATTAAATAGGGTTTACCAATCAACTTGTTGACGTTATTTTTCTGCAGATGGCCAATAAAATGCCACTTAATCTCTGGACAAGACGACAGAATCTGAAAGCAGAGAGGAACAGTGAGGTTTGAATGACAATTCCCTCTTCCCCCCCCCCCCAGTACTTAAGTCTTAGTTTGCCCACAAAAAAAATACCAGACACCCAATCTTCTTCTTTTGTTGACCCTGAAAGACATATCTCAGGCAGTGCTTGTGGTGTGTACTGAGATTGCTTCACAGTCTGGAGAAGAACGGGGCTGCGGCTGCAGAGCATGACACGGTGCATGGGGAAGGCAAAGCTCTTTTGTAACTGAAGAGTCATAAAATGATATTTCCCCCAAACTGAGTGCTATCTTTTTTTTTAAATGAGGACTGCGCATCTCCTACAGCAGAAAGCACAAAGGGTAAAGCACTGTTCAGACAAATACTTTATGAATAAGGCGTACGTATTCACGGAATCCTCTGGAGCCAGCAAGGCAAGGAGGGGGAACAGGGCAGAGGCAAAGAGCTAAGAATAACCCCACCATCTATCTGAAAAGACAAGGATCAAACAGCCTCCGTTGCCAAATCCCTAACAAAAACTAGGACTTTTGCTGAACAGCTCTCAGGACACAGCTATACAAGGAGAGAGAGCACATAAGGAACTGCGTACTTACTCTGGAGTCTGACGCCTTTTCTAGCAGCTCTTGAACCTAGGAGAATTCAAGACAATCTCTCGTTAAAACCATGCCAGACGTGCCTGCACCGTAAGAACGGTCTCTCTGGAACGGGTGTTCCTGGGACCAACGCGCGCCTCATTAACACAAGGCCAGGGGCCTGATGCTATAACCAAGCCAAGCTCCCCACACGCAGAGCCACACGCACTAGGCTGCTCGGCGCCTGCCTTCGGCGTGGGGGCCCACTCGCAGACCCGTGGGGCCCAGCCAACTCACGTAGTTCTCCCCAAAGCTGCGCTGTCCGTGGCTGTAGGCGTCGATCACCATCTCTGCCGGCTTCGTCTTGCTGACGGCCACCAGCCGCGGCTGCACAGCCGGGAGCCCCTGCAGAAGCACCCAAGGGTGAGTGGGACGTGCAGGGGAGGCTCCGACCCGTTCCACGCTCTCCTCAGTGTCCTGCAGCGCCCAGCCAGACCCCCCAACCCCAGCTCAGTTCACCCCACAGCCT